CTGTCAACTTGAGATTTGAATCCGTGGCGGAAGAAAGTAGTTCTGCATACAAAATGGTTTTTTAAGACACTTCCTGGTTATTTATTTACACACTTGTGCCGTCGAACTGTTGTACAAACGTAATATCACACCCTTACCCGTGTGATGTCGCTCTATAACAGCATGGCCGTGATTACCTGCAGCCTCGTGCCTACAGCCGAATCACAGCCATGCTGATATAGAGCCATATTACGGGTACGAGTGTGATATTGCTCATATATAAACTAATTCAAATTTACATTTATTTGAATGATTGATTTGTACAGCCCAAATAACCAGAAGTGACCATTTGTTGTGTGGAAAAAGTTAGTATATCCCTACATTTATCACTATAGAAAGTGCCTAAAAATATTGTAAAATAAGTTTTATTTATTTTATTAAAATAAGTTTTATTGTCCTCATTTGTAAGTCGCTTTGGATAAAAGCGTCTGATAAATGACTAAATGTAATGTAAATGTAAATAGGTGCATACACCTTATATAAACTTCAATAAACTGGTCTGGTTTGGTCTTAAAGTTCGCCCAAAAAATAAAACATTATGTCATGACTTTCTTTATTCTGTGAAGCACAAAAGAAGATTTTTTGACCTTCTTCAAAATGTCTTATTTTCACAGAAAAAAACCAGTCTCACCAAGTTAGAACATCATGAAGGTGAGTAAATCATGACAGAATTTTCATTATTGGCTGAATTATTCATTTAAGCATGAAAGAACATGGCACCATCATGCCAAGATTAAAAGAGGAAGGTTTATGAGTCTGGAAAGCCATTTAAAATTCACTTCTTAATACTGTTCAAATAAGGTTTGAGCATTATTACACACATGCAAAGAAAAAAGACAAAACATTTAATAAAATGTAATTACTTTTCCACAGACACATAATATCTGGCACTGAAACAACAACTGTAACATAACCCATGGAAAATCCATGGGACAGAACCGACTAACTTTTTGGTATTGTTGCATACTGTGAGTACATGATTAAGAGCTTTTTGTTGTATTTATAACTCACGAGACTGTGTAGATGGTCACAGGTCATGTATGGTAGTGAATGTTTAACAGCACGTTGAACGTGGCTGGCAGTGACATCCTCAGTTAACCTTTTTTTTCATTTTTGACTATTTCAACTTCCTCCTTTTTCATCTTGATCATGTATAACATCTCAGGATTCCTCTTTTAGGATTTACTGGGTAGAAACACAAAAATTACATACTTTTCAGCATTTCTACATTATAATGTTAGTGATATTCATATTTCTATTACATATGGTTATATTTTAAATATATATGTATTTATAATTTTAATATTTGGAAAAGTACAATATTTTGAAAAACATTTTTAAGATTTACAATGTACAAACGTTTATCAGCTATTATTAAGCATTGCGATATTTAAAATATGTTGTTTAATATGTTGTTCAATATTACTTAAAAGGTTATGCTACTTTGGTTGATTGGGCTGTTGTTCATTACATGATATATTAATTGTAATAAGCTAGGTGTTTATAAATTTGTTCAAGCTTGACGCCTTTATTTTCTAATATATATTTCTACAATTCCCACAAGGATTCCAACATCATATATGAAAAAAAAAACTTGCGTTTACTTGGTTAAATTCAAACAACCCACTGACTAAACCTGATTGGTTCCAGAGCCATTGAACAGCTCTGATTGGTTCGTATGATAATGAGCTCACCCCAGAGAGCTTCGTATATAAAATATGATGTGCGTGCAAATGTCTCTTGAATGTGAATATAAGTCTAAATTTAAACAGTATTATATAGAGCGGCCGCGATCGTGTCTCTTTAGGGCACTTGGAGGAAACCACGCAATTCATATGGATTACTTTGCCGATGTTTTTTTGAGATTTCAACTTTTTGAAACATGAACATCTTTGGTGAATCTTCTTTCATCGGAGGGACATAAATCTCTCAGATTTTTATTAAAATATCTCAGCTTTTCTTTTGAAGATGAACGAAAGTCTTAGATGGTTTGGAGCATCTTAAGGGTGAGTGATGACAGAATTCAAATTGTTTTGGGGGAGCTATGAAATTAATTCGAAAATATAACGTTGCAATGACATCCTCAGTTAACCTTTTTTTTCATTTTTGACTATTTCAACTTCCTCCTTTTTCATCTTGATCATGTATAACATCTCAGGATTCCTCTTTTAGGATTTACTGGGTAGAAACACAAAAATTACATACTTTTCAGCATTTCTACATTATAATGTTAGTGATATTCATATTTCTATTACATACATACAGTGGGTACGGAAAGTATTCAGACCCCCTTAAATTTTTCACTCTTTGTTATATTGCAGCCATTTGCTAAAATCATTTACGTTAATTTTTTTTCCTCATTAATGTACACACAGCACCCCATATTGACAGAAAAAC